ATCTCTCTTTCTTTTTATTGCTGCTAAGTAAAAGTCATAAGTAAGAGCGCTTTCGAGAGAAATGAGTGTGGAGCCAAAACTATTGCGAGGTATGGGAATAGTTAAATAAGAAAATGTTAGGTATAATTTCAGCTATAATTCCTTAGATATCAGGATTTTAAAACATTTATACATATATATTTTTTTATATTATTTCAATTAAAGTTATTGCTTTTTATTTTTTTAGTATTGCACCAAAATATAGGCAATATTTGATACAAATTTTTCATTGTTAGTTTATATTACTATGCCAAATATTGCCTACATTTAGGGTGTTATTACATATTTAAAAATAGCTTTAATTTTAGTTTCTTATCTTTCTTAATTATTTTTAACATATCTAAATCTATGTATACTTTGAAGTATATTTTTTAACAGAAAGCTTATATCTGATTTTTTTTAGTTTTAATTGACTTATGCTTATTTATGTTCTCTTACTCATATAAAATGGCTTCGCCTTATTGAAATTAAATACATATTATATATTCCTATCTATATTTAAATTTTTTGATATCATCCTAATCATATGCAACAGTTTCCTTACTTTTTTTCATGCTATAGAAAGAGGCTCTTGAAAATACCTCTTCCACGTTTTTGAAAACTTCTAATGCCCCTTAAATGTGTCTTATTTAAGTCAATGTTAACATACTTTGTTTGGTCTCAGCACTGATGGCCTACCTTTAGAAAACTTGTTTTCACGGCTTGAGGCCAACTCTAAAAGAATGAAAGGGAGTCACACTGNCTAAATTTTTAAAGTCAATCCATATAAGAGCTAAAAGACTCTGCTAAACCAACAAAATGATTTTCAAAAAATATTTCCCTCACTTTTTTAATTTAATGATATTTACATATGAAAAACATAATGTCGAATAAATTTTTTCTCTTTATGTCTATAGATGTTACTTCTAGACCAAGCAGTTTTAACTTTTATTACTGCCAAAAATATTTTTCACTCATTTTCATTTCGTTTCGTTACTAAAAAAACTACCTGAATAAGCTTTACGACAGAAAAATGTTCAATATGCCACAAATCGTAAGCATACGCTTAGAAAAATACCGCTTTTACTAAACGAATGTGCCCGCACAAATTGTACCATAGGGATATTTTCGTAAGCACCAACATACGTCAGCAAGCAAGCATACTTGTAGGTGCCTGTGTTATACACGTAGGTGTTTGAGGGTGTGTGTATGAGTGCATGTAGTGTGCGCATTAGTGTTGGCCATATTATCCTCGAGCACAAATCAAATCAACTAAATTGCCTTAGATTATGGCAGCATCAAGAGACTTTTATCCAGTCAGACGGCAAGTCGCCTGTGAGTATGCTACATATTTGCAGACAATACAAAACGAGACAGCGTACATTTATACATGAGTGATTGAGGGTGTATATAAATATATGTATTTATACAGACACCCATATGCGACGCATCATTTCCAACATAAAAATTAGATTTCGCACCAACGCACAAAGCGGAGTAAGCACAACGTGCGAAGATGATGGAATCAGGCAAATGGAAATAAGAAAAATTAAACTCCGAAAGAAAGACAACTCAAGATGGGGCGTGAATCGGCGGTGACTGCACAAACGGTTGTAAGGAAACGGTAAATGAGAAAAGCAAAATAAAAATTGGTTATGAGTTTCGCGCACTTATGAGTGCTGTCACCCACATGCATACAAGATAGCAACAACATTTTTCAAACACACACCAACCCCTCCGCCTTTAGCGCTTGTACACGCACCAGAAACGTTGTAAATGTTTTCGGCTTCCTTTCTTCTTGGCAAAAGAAGTCGCAAAAAATCGCTTTCAATTTACTTCAACATGGCAATGAGGGCAATAAATGGCAAAGAGGCTAAAAATAAAAATAAAGACAACAACAATGCAATCATGTGTGGCATAAACAAGCCAAACGCTGCGCTCGTCGACGTTACGCACACGCAGACACGCACGGAGGGGCGTCTCGCACGCAAAGTGTTGCATTGAGAAATGACAGCAATCTTGACGGCAAAGCTTTTGACAGTCACAACAACAATAATAATAACAACAAGTGCAACAATAACAGCAGCCACTGTTGTAGCCTTCAAAGCAGAATCAGTCAGCCAAACCGAGTTAGCCTTTCACCGTCTGCCGTCTCGATATCGTTTACTTCGCTCCTTTTTGCTCTTTTTGCGCTATGCAGCGCCTAACCGCTTGCTTGGCAGTGACGGTCCGCACATCTATCAGCGTCCACGGCAGCGTCAACCCACATTTTTCATCTGCTTTGCTTTGCTGCTGACGAGAAGGGCTGCGGCAACACTCGCTCTCTCTGAATATGTTTGTAAGCAGCGGCACCTACAGCAACATGCACGAGAAACGAGCAGCAGGCTTCAAGATTTGTTGTGCTGTATTTCGTGTGTGCATTTCTACAGCTGCGTGCAAAATAACAAAATATTGTCGGTTTTTCAATTTCGAAAAATTAGTTTTATTTTTATACAACTTAGTTTTGATGGCTTCATATGTGTGCGCACTCAATACAAGCATGGTGTTGTTGTTGCTGCACTTGACGCGTACAAATTCAACCTTGGCAATTGCGCTTGAGTGCACATCCGCGACTATTACGCTGACAGACAGCAATTTGTTTTATCGTGAAGTAGGAGGGGTTAAAGAGTATTAAAAAATAAATAACTGAGTTACGAGACAAATACAATAAAAAAATTAAAAAACAAAAAACGTTGTCTTCGAAGATTGCATACAAGAACTTGATTTTGGATCGGTCAGTTTGTATGGCAGCTATATGCTATAGTGGCTCGATCTAAATAACATGTTCAGAGATTATAGGGTTGCCTGGAACAACAATCTATGCCAAATTTCGGAAAGATATCTTCTCAAATGACAAAGTTTCCTATACTA